TACCGTTTGTTAATGCTAATACTTAGTTAGTTAGTTAAAGTATGTTTTAGTTTCAACTTTTTCAAAAAAAAAAAAAATTTGTTTTTCCCAATTTTGCTATGAAATCAGGATTTTCGGGAAAGAGTTTAAATAATAATTATGTTAAAAGAATTTGTATTAAATGGGTACTTTAATCAACAAAATACAATATTTTTGGAGAAAACCATGACGATCCTTACTAGTGAATCCTTACTAGTGATCCAAATCGTTAGTCGAAAACCCAACTAATTAACAACTTTTCAACTAATCAGGTAGTTTAATTGGCCAATCAACAAATTAATACTCAATCATATATAGTAAAACTATATAGTTAACTATGCATTAAATTTAATTAAACATCTTTTATAATGGACTATTCTAGAACCTTCCAATACATTATAAAAAGGAATACATCCACTATCTAAATTTTCAGGTTTCGACTTTTTAACATTACAAACAATATGCAAATTTTCGTTAAAACCCTTGCTGGTAAGACATTAATTACTCTTGAGGTAGAATCATCAGAAACAATCGGCCAAGTTAAGTAAAAATCCAGGACAAGGAAGGGATTTCAGCAGAAAGTCAATGTCTTATTTTCGGTGCTAAACATTAGAAGATGATTGTACCTTGCCAAATTATAGTATTCATAATGAAACTATGATTCATTTGGTACTTCGTCTTAGACCCTTGAAGTTGAATTATCAGACACCATTAGTTAGGTAAAGCAAAAGATATAGAATAAAGAAGGAATTCCACCAGACTAACAGCGTCTTATTTTTGCTGGCAAACGATTAAAGGTATACACTTTCAGATTATAATAACGTTCAAAAGAAATCTACACTTAGTGATGGCATGTGATTTAAATCACGATGATATAAATCACTGATTTTCAATTTAAAGCAGATTTTAATCTTTTATTATTAACCTGTTACTGGTAAACTTCTATATGTATTGTCATCTATTTTAGAAATTTACGATTGGACAATGTAACTTTAGTCAAATTTTTAGAATAATTTTATTTAGCCAAGTTTGTTTGGCCTTTGATAGATGTTACAATGAATCTAATTCGCTCTTTTCTTGCTAAATGTTCGTTTTAAGATTAGATCGAAATAATAATAATAAAACTACAATAAATCTTAAGGATATAAATTTTGTTTACTGTGTGTCAAGTGCTTGTGCAAGAAATATTTCTCTCGGCAATACAAGGAAAACCTTTTTTTACAGAATTTGCAAAAATAACAATGATTGATTTTTATTTTTATAAATTTAAATTAGTATAGACCGCACAATTTGGGATAAAAATAAAATCACCTAGACGACGAAGAAAATTTCTTTAATAACACTCGGATTTTCAGTTTGAATGTTTATCTAGTCTAAATATTTAGACACCACAAAATTAGAAGCGACTAAATATCACAAGAAGGAGGTGAATTATATAATAAATTGATCTCAGCTAATATTTAGTCTTTTAGGAACCAAGTTGGTGGATTAAAATAGTATGTGGTTAATAAAATATTCGATTAGGTAGAATATGTATTCAACTATACACTCTATCCTCGCTATAGAAGACCCAGTTAAAATAGAATTATCATTATTATGCTACATAATACTTTAACGAAATTATTGCAACAGACAGAATTTCAGCTCAATTAACCATTATAACAAGGGCAGAGTGTATTTAGTTTATGCTCGTAGGGAACGTTTATAAATAGGCTTCCGATATCTTATCGAATTATGTGGCCTATTCATAGCAATTTAATTGTTAATTCGTGAATGAATGATTATTTAAGTAAGCTTATTTTGAGTAAAAAGTTAGAATAATAGATTATAACTTAATAGTTTAAAGTGGTATTAATAAATTACGCTTACCTAGATCTGAAAATTGAAATAAAAAAATTTTCAGCTAAATTTACTTGTACTATATTGAACCTGCCCATAATTAAGAGATACTATAGACCAAATCAAAATTTAAGTAATTATAAAAACATACACGTATTTACAATTAAGACCATCAATTTAATTATTGGAAAAAATCATAGTTAATATTGATACTTTGTTCAATAAATATTTGTTTTTTATTAATAATATATAGCATACTAATCAATACTTAATTTTTTCAGACCATTATTCACTAATTTCACCCACTCATCTTCATTCACATAATTTTCTATTTCATAATTTTCCTTATTATATTCCATGTCCATCATCAAAAATAATTTATCCCAATATCCAAATTCGGATAGTCTCATGGGTGAAGATTTTTCGATAAACCAGTCATGAGCCTTCAGTCTTGGTTGTCTCTTAACGATATTAGGCGATGAATTTGGATTAGTGTTAGACAAAGGCTTTGAGATAGTAGGTGATGATGACATAGACGATAAGAGGTCAACTAATCTTAACTCTAATAATAATAATTCAAAAAAATTTGATACATTGTCTATTTGTGTAGGTTCTTTATAATCATCTGTGATGATGTGTTCTTTAACATCATGTTTAGGATTTTTGTTCGAAATGATGTCGACATTTCTACTACTTTTATCAGAACTACTTTTATTGTAAGCTAAATTAGCATCAATTCCTGTTGAAGTCTAAAAAAAATGAATATTTATATAGATAATTAAAGATACAATAAAAGACCAAAAAATTCATGTAATGTTATACATACTAATTGTTGTGGTTCCAAAAACTTTTCGAATCGTTCAGCACGTTTTTTACGTCGTTCTAATTCCTCGGCATCAACAGCGGTCGTTAAATCTTGAGAAATTAAACTCGTTCGCTGCGAACGACACTCATTGTTGTTGTAATTCTGGTTATTCTGGTGCAAGTCATTATTAGTATTTCCACTTACAACTCCTCTACCTACAACACAAAATTAAAACGGTAATGTAGACGGAATTTTTGAATTTAAAATTCATCTATGGACGAGATCAACAAACCTCGATTTCTTCTGCTTCGATTTCCTCTAGGGTTATTGTTTCGTTGATTAGTAAAATTAGAATGTTTACGAGTCATTTATTTTAAGAAAAGTGTTTTCACAAGTTGTACTTTGTATTGTGAAACGTTTTATGTACGTACTCACCTGTGATTATGTAATCATGTGTAACCGCTGTACTGGGAATAGCAACCTGATATTTAATCCAAAACAGGACCAAAGCCAGGGACATGAGGATTTCCATATGGCACTGATGTTCAAAGCCTTTTGGCATGTCCCGTTCAAACTTCCAGAATTCAATAATTAATATGATTATATATTTCTAACACTCTTAGAAAATAGATTATCTTAGTAAAAATTTCAAATATGAAATTTATTGTTATTTTTTTTTTATGTGCCCAAAGCAGTCTCGTAATTAGGGTTATTTGTATCAATAACAAGAGCTTCTGAAAAAAGTATATAAAGCTACAGATTCAGGGTTAGGATGTTAAGATTAGAAGCCTTAGGAAAAAGATTAACACTTGTTATAAGTACCTTGTTATATGTTACGTAATTCTTTCTGACATTTCAATTATGTCCCCAAGGTCGATTCTTAAACATTAACGCTAGTTCCGTTTGCCATATGCTTGAATGATCAAACATTGCA